AAATCCCAAATTAAAAAAATACAAGAAGGGGTAGTTTAGTTAGAAAACCGTTTACACGAAGACATTTCACAGCTGTGCCGAAACAGCTGTCACAAGAGAACTATGAGTGGTTTTAGGAAAGAAGATTCCACTCATGTCTGGTGAGTAACTGAGGTTGACCTGAGCTCACGTGTAGCCTGGCTGTCTTACTTTGTGAGCTGGGCCAGCTGGAACTCCAGCGACCTCTTGGCCTCCAGGGCGGTGTTCATCTCCTGCTTGAGCTGCTTCTCTGACCCCTTCATCCGATCGGCCTCCACAGCACGCGTCTTCAGCTCGGCCTGGGCCTGGACACGCCTGCCGGACTCCTGCTCCAGCTGGACACGCACACTCCTCACCTGCGGAGGGGCCAGAGCGCACACTGAACACCCTGCATCCCAGGACATCGCCCGGGCTGCCCCACGCCCTCACGCCTCCCCACACCCTCCTCTCCCCAGCGTTCCAGCGGGGAGAGGAAACATGGTGGAAAAGAATTGTACAGCTCTGAGGATGCAGGGCGTAGTAGTGTACCGTCCACTCTTCACCCTTCCCGCCACAGGGAGCTGTGGGGCTCAGTGTGGCACAGATCTTCCAGGTTTAAATCATTATAACATAGGAATGAAGAAGCGGACGGTAAAAAACTTGGAACGTCTGCAAGTTGAATACTCCCGTTATACTTCAATAAAGGTAGATAAATGGGTAGCAAGCTGGAAATTGTGGTGTATGGCAACACAGCATTGTACTGTAGGTCTGGGTTCTGACTGAATCTTAGCATAGGACTCTAATGTCTCCAAAATCTAACACCCTGTGTATAGGACTCGGCATGACTTTGTGCCAGTGGCTCGGAGCCCCAGTTTCTCCCTCACCTTTTACCTACACTGCTTCATCTTTGAGTCTTACACAGTTATCATCTGAATATGCTGTAAAGTTTTAGCCCTTAAACAGCAACTTACAGGTGCAACTAATTTGTTTTAAGCGTTTTTCAAAGACAATGGCAAAAAACAGGGTGTGCTCTCAAAGACTTCTTCTTGTGGGTGTTAGTTAAGATTCAATATCATCCAGTTTAGCTATTCCTTACCATTTTATATAATGTAATCATATTTTTTTCATTAGAAGCTGCTTTCCCTATACAAAAAACGATTAATGAATGAGACAGAAGCACCTCCCAGATACACTGAAAATGCAGAAATGTGTTTTACTTAGAGCTCATCAGCAGTAAAATGTCTTGCTCTTGGGGGAAACCAACCAGGGGTGTAATGACAGCACTGACCTCCTCCTCCAGCCTCTCCTTCTGCTTCATGAGCTGCTCGATCTTCTGCACAGACTGCTTCAGGTCGAACTCCAGCATGGAGCACTGCTTCTCCACCTCCACCACCCTGTTCTCGGCCTTCAGCCTTGCCATGCTCTCCTCCGACACCTTCTGCTCCACCGCTGCGGAGAGCACACACCCGTTCACACCCGCGCCGCGCCTCCCACACAATCCCTGCCTCCCCAGGCTTTGCTTTCCTCCAGTTATCTTTTTATTACTTTTCAGCTCAAGCAAATGTCCGCCGCCCCCCTTCACGGCGACATTCAGCTGACAGCCTCGGCCTCGAACCGCACTGCTCTGGCTCTGGAGGGTCCGGGAGGACAGGCCTCCAATCAGGGAGCAGGGGGCAGAACTGTGCCTCTCGGAACACCTTATCTCAACCGGACACCTCATCTCACGGATTAAGGGGTGGGCCCTCTCGCAAAAAGTTTGAAACAAAACAAAAGCGAGGCGGATGAGGACTCAGAGCATCAGATGACTTCAGGTCAGGCTTCCAGCTTGGCGTTTCAGCCTTTCACCGGGAATGAAATCGCAGGCTTTTACCGCTTCTTGTACGGGGATGAGTATATAACAAAAGTACTATAATATATTAATCTGAAGAGGAAACAAACCTACCGACCTGTCAAAATCTCTCAAAGGTGCACAAACCATTCAAAGGGCTTCAGACTAACCACCGCGACCTACGGGAAGATGGGGAGCGGTCGTCTCCGACAGCGACGGGCCCCGCCTACCTTGCATGGTGGCCGACTTGGCCTCCTCGATGGACTCGTACTTGTCCGTGAGCCGGGCCTTCGTCGCGGCGTGCTCCGCCAGCTCGTGCTCCAGCCTCTGCTGCAGGGTCTTCAGCTTGTAGTTCAGGTCAATCTCCAGGTTGTTCTTCTCCTACAGAGGGGGCCCCACAGATTAAAGCTCCCCCGTTTGAGACGCCCTGCCTCTCCCCAGCCCAGGTGAGGCACGACTGGCCGCGCCATTGCCAGGCAAAATCACGCTAAGGAGACGCATCTGTAACAACGGCTAACTCTGAAGATCTGGGTTTCTCACTGACATACCTTTGAAGCATAATAACCAACCAGCAGCAGCCAGAAGACAGCAAGTCAGGATTTCCAATACACACAAATGCAACAGGAAAGTTGGAAGGTGAAATACGTTCACATCGTATGCCAATAAATTGTTTCTAAATTTTAATAGATCTGACATGACCGGCACACTAATGTCTTACCTTCTCCAAATTATTGCTTCTCTCTTGGGCTTGCTTCCTTTCCGTTTCCACTTTTGAAAGCGTCAGTTTGAGGTTTTTCAGGTCTTCTTGCAAACCAGTTATCCTTCCTGGCAGTCAGAAGAAGACAGATTCGCTGCTTAGCTCACACACAGTCTTTAGCTCCTGCACACCAAATGGCTGATGGATCGTTTTGATTTCACTAAGGTTTCAATGTGTGACTGAATGTCTCTGTTATACGTGCCAGGCAACGGTTACAGCTGTACTGCAAAATGGTCAAAATTGTTTGCGTTGACCTTTACAAGTAACGCAAATAACTCACACCTTTGCTTTTAACATTCTACATTATTTCTACAATGTTAAGTTTAATTTTGCCAGGGATTGTAAATGCTTTGGTTTTCCCAATATTCTACAGTCAGTCAGACCCATCACTCTTTCCCAATATATACAGAGATAGCTGCCAAAAGAAGCAGCACATCATAACAACACAGAGAACACCTGGACTTGTGTATAACACTCTTACTCCGTTTGCATTACAAAAGAAAGCCTGAAAGTGAACATTAAGACTTTAAAA